TATAAACAACAATTAAAGTTCGGTTCATACGTAATCAATGTCTAACTTCTTTCTAAAACTAGCCGTTTTAATAATATACACATAGATATAGTTAGATTAATAGAGTAATTTGATTCGACTTAGCTATAATACATAATAACTATATATAGTCTGATTAAACTATCACTATCACTATAATCATATCGAAAACACGGACTAACCATGATCTATCGAATTTCATAATATATAATCAAAAGTATTGTTTTGTGACACATCAAAATCGTAAGCTCGTTTTGGGGGTTCGAGGACTAGGATGTTACAAATTTATGTTTTTGTTGATTTTTCTTTTTTGCATGTCGACCACATTAATTAATTAAATACAACCCCCACCCAATTTCCATTATATTTGCATGCAAACCCCTCTACCTCCTTATCATGTAATGGGAATTGTGTGAGTCTTCATAATTATAAATTTATAATACAAGGGTTTTTTTTCCCTAAAAAAATTTGTTTCGAGTATTTGCTTTCAAATATATCAAAATCTGTCCAACAGGTAATAATAATAATAATAGAGAGAGATTATAACACATGATGAATTATATCTTTTATTTTTTTTATTTTTTTGAATGTTTTCAAATGAGTGTGTTTAATTAGGTGCAATTGTCCACTCAAGTGCGTGAAATTATTAGTTGAGAATTCTTTTAAAACCCACTCCTCTACGGATTTTGTACGTTGTTGTTATTGGGGTGAGCAAATCATGCATGATCTGGACTATGATAGATTGCTATGACTAATTTTGATTCCATTGCATATTTAGATGTATGTATATTTTTTAGAAGTTGTTTTCTTTTAACTTTATGAAACTTATAAATTTAATTAGTTTTTATTATGTTCTTTGTTATAATTGGGGTTTTTTTTTTTTTTAATTTGATTAATGGTCACATAACAGTTTCCACATCTAGATGTATCGAAAATATATACTTCAACGAGTTAAAAAAAGGCTCAATTTTTATAATTTTTAGTAGTGGTACATTTTCCATAGATATGAAATTAGGAGCTATCTACTTATTTCACTAGAGCAACATAAAATAGAAGCTAGATTCAACTATCAGCAAAATATCTCATCTTGTCATCCTTTTAGTTGCATTTGGAAGACAAATCGAGAGACAAGAAAATTACTCACACAATGACCCTTTCAAAGAAAGGAAAGCTAGCTAGGGGAAATATCACCAAATAGGGGGAAAGGGACACTAGCCTTTATTTAAGAAGAAATGCAATTTCACCAATAGGGGGAAAAACCTTGATGGCTTCTAAAAGTGTACTCTGATCAATCCAACTCAACCAATACGAATTGGGTTAAGTTGAATTTGGTTCAAATAAATGAAACTTTATGGATTGAGTTAGTTCAAGGGTTCACTTATAAGAATTAACTTTATGGATTGAGTTAGTTCAAGGGTTCACTTATAAGAATTTGAGTTAAATCGAACAACATGAATTTATTATATTAACAGAACAATTTCTTTTACTTACCATAAAATTAAACATATATTAAACTATCATGAGTTGGCTCATTGGTCCAAAGGAGCGAAGGTAAACCAAAAAGAGTTTAGAGAGAATAGATTCTCATGATGGACACCTAACTAGGAATTAATTTCTCATGTGTTTTCTTGAAAACCAAATGTAGTAGGGTCAAGCGGTTGTTTCGTGAAATTAGTCCAAGTGTGCGCACAAACTATCTCAGTTAAATATTTCACGGTTGGGTTCATTATTTAATAAGGATTATTTGAGTCGAATAAATTTACAATCCGAACAATTGGATTGGACGTAAGAAGTATACTTCAACCCAACCTAATCCAACACCCATAAACACCCCGTGGCTAAATCTTGGCTCGAACGGGAACAACCCTTCATGTGCCACTACTCAAAAAGAGCCTCTTAAGTTGGATATGACCTATACACCATGCCAATTAGGCCCCAATATTCTACCCTAGGTAGCGAGTACTTGTTATCTAGACCCTTGGCTTTTTGAATTTTATTTGTTAAGGCATGCCATATATATTATTGAAGGAAAGGAAACAACTTTTTTCTTCGTCCCTTTTCATTGTTATTTAGTGATACAAGTCAATCTCTCGAGTCTTTTCACTTTAAAATGCTCTTTGTGGTTCTAGTCTTTAGTTTCATATATATTTTTCACATTTAATGCACATTGACATTAATTCCATCTCTCAACCATCTTTTATTGAAATTTGAAAATCTTTTTTTATAGTTAAATTGTTTAAAGTGTGTTTAATTTTAAGCATACTTCCAACAAAAACTACTTCACTTAGGAAAAATAATATTTATCAACAAATACTTTAAATATTATAATTTACATTTTTAAAACTACTTTCAAATGTATATAGTTTTATGCTACTTTCAAATAAGAAAGAGATCAAGTGCCTTTGACACAACTTTCTAACATAGATTTGATTTTGCTACTAAAACACACCAGTGAACTATCCGAACATCTTTTGATTGGTTAGAAGTTCGAATTCCCCATTCTTATTTTTAATATAATATTCTTAAAATAATTTTCTTCCCCCTCAGCCACAAATAAATCTACAATTGATACTTCACTATATATCTATTAGTATTAATTAAAATTAGAATTTTTTTATTCTTCCTAAGAGAGGAATCAAAATTTTAGTTTCACATTGGCTCCTAGTCTACATCATAAATACAAAAAGCAAAATAGTTAAGGTCTGGCCTCTCTCAAGTCTCAACCACATAAATAGAATGACACTATCATCAACTAAAAACAAAATCCAATTTGATAACAACTGCATTTTAATAAGTTTTTTCTTTTTTTGTATTTTAAAAATAGCAACTTATTTTTCTGATTATTATTATTTTTGTATATATTTTTATAGACACCTTCGAATTACCAACCATATTAAAAAAAAAGTATCAAAAAACTATGTTTTTAAAAAAATTCCAAAAGAACAATTTATTTTAATAAAAGTTCTAAAAGAAAAATTTATTCTTCCCTCCCAGCCAAGAGATTCATTTTTTTACTACCATAGTCGCTAAGCTAACTAGCCTACAACGTAAATATAATAAGCAAATACTTAAAACGTTTTGACTAGCCCTATTAATGAGAAACAAAGCCTAACTATTTAAGATTTGTTCAATTATACCATTTCATTTTTAGCTTCTCCCTCTCGAACAAATAAATCGTTATCAATCCAATGAAGTTAAAAGAAAAAAAAAGGAACATTTTGATTTTATCCAATGGGCAAGAGAATCAAGTTTTAGCTCCACATTGGCTACTAGTCAACATCAAAAACAAATATAAGAATAAGGCAAGAGTTAAGGATTTGGTGTGTGATCTTTTGAACCACAAAAAAAATTGGGACCATAAGAGTTTTGAAGTTCAATAACTCAACAATATTGGAGAGAGAATATGATTTATGAAAATGGTGGATGCTGGTCCCTTATCTGCCCTGCCCCAAACTTTAGCGCTTGGTTTGTGCCACCCTCATATGATTTAGAATCTTGAATAATATTAAGGTGTTTATCGGTCAGCATCTATCTTTTATGTTGACTATAAATAAAAAAAAAAATTAATTTTTTTTTAAACTTTTTCTTTTTGAAAAATAAAAAGCATTCCCTATTCTCTTCGTAAAAAATTTAGCGATGGTGAAGATAAAGTACTAGTCCGTAAGCACCTAAATATTTTTCATATTTAGTAGACAACTAATTTTTTTCTTTAAAAATATTATATAACAAATTGGAAAAATACAAATCTCGATTATTTAGAGATGTAGAGATATCTTAAATATTAACGTCGGTATAATCGGAAAAATTTAGGATGAAGGCAGTAGTAATTAACCTCAAATAGCAGTAAGTCTTAAAGTGTTTATATAATATTTGACTTTTTAAGGCTAAGAAACATTTGAATTGTTTATGTTTTTCTTTTTTGATTTTTATTTACGTCACGTGTTCTTTTAATATTTACATTAGAAGAGTTTTTTCCTTTCTTTCTTTTTTAAGAAATGAAAATGATAATACATATAGTTTTTGTTGAAAGTTAAGTGAGAGAAGGCGAATAAAATTTTGGGAAAAAGTCAATTTTATTCTTGTGCTAAATTGAAGTCAATTTAAAAGTTCTAATCTTATGGAGTTCAACTATTGACTTCTTATCCTCAAAATTAATATCGAAAGGTTGCTTAGATAAAATAATCCCATATAGGTACTTCGACTTATACAAAGATAAATAAATCCTTATTTTGGATTAATACAAGACTGCATTTACACCTAAAAAAGTTTTATATACATATATAAATTCACGTCTCTAAAATCTCTCTTAAAAATATAGATTCAAATAACACGGTAATGATTAAAATGGACTTTACAGATCTTTTAATTATTCAGGTTTCATAATCATTTTATTTTTTTTATTTTAAAAAATTAAGCTTGAAACTACTATTTTTATTCCTGTATTTCTTTATTTTGTTACCTGCTTTTTTCATAATGTTTTCAAAATAATTCAAATTTTGAAGGAAAAAAAAAAGAATAGTTTACAAAATTTTGTTTTGGATTTCTTTTTAAAATTTGACTAGAAATACAAATGCGTTTAAATAAATATTATTCTAAATTAAATTAGGACAAAATTGATGATGGGGAACTAAAAATAAAATGATAATTTGGCATCAAGAAAGTTGGAAATGGGAGAGAATCATGRGAGCTTCCAAAGAAAGAGAGTGCTACCCACCATTTCACACGCGCCTTTCCCCAACTGCTCCCAAAATCAATCTCAACCGTCCGATTATCACCCCCAAAAAAGAACAAAAAATAAAAGAAAATAATATTAAAGAAAGCGTATTCATTCACGTACATCACGCGCACTGCACGTGAACCTTTGATTTCCCAACCCCCCCATTCATCAGCACCATTTCTCAATTTCCCTGCGCTTGTGCCTTCTAGTTCCAGCCAGAAGAACAAAAAAATAAAAATAAAAAATAAAAAAAAGGCTCCCTTAAATTATTAATTTTATGTGCCACTTCTTCAAATTCTTCCCGCGCTTCATTCTCCCCATATATATTTAAAAGGCCAGGAGAGGAAATCCCGTGGTGGTCTGAGAGAGAATTATAAGTTTAATTAAAAAAAAATGCCATGTTCTTCTTCCAGCTGCTTCTGCACGAAGCACTTCTTCAAGCGCTTCTTCACCCATGAGGAGTTCCAAATGGCGGACGGCGTTCTCCACACTACTTTCTTTGCCCCTCATCTCTTGCCCTCCCTCGGCGCCACCATCAATCAAACAACCAAGCTCCGTAAACGCATCGTTTCCCCTTTCGACCCCCGCTATCGGTACGTATGCAACGTCCCGCAATACTTGTCTACACACTCGTCGGTATAAACTTTGCTTTATTACTCTATTTAATTATCTTTCCAACTATATTCACTTTTCTTTAAACAATACCTACTCTCTACTTTCTTGAAATTGTCTTTTATCCTTTTTAAAAGTACATGATTTAGAAAATTAACGAGTTATCAAGAGAATAAAGATCTTTTATTCCTCTCTCCTGGCTAATGCTGATTAAGTAGATGGATAAACATGGGTTGTTTTAATTAGAATATATTTTGTGTGTGGGGTATTGAATTTTATTTCAGAGCTTGGGAGATGTGGCTGGTGGTTCTGGTGATCTATTCAGCATGGATTTGTCCATTTGAGTTTGCGTTTCTTCCTTACAAGCAAAATGCTCTCTTCATCTTCGACCACATCGTCAATGCCTTCTTCGCCGTCGATATCCTTTTAACTTTCTTCGTCGCCTATCTCGATACCCACTCCTATCTTCTCGTCGACAACCCCAAAAGAATTGCACTCAGGTGAGTGAGATGAATTTAAAAATAATGAGTTCTGAATAAATAGAATATTATTTTAAATGATTATTTTTTGGTTATAGGTATTTATCTACGTGGTTCGTTTTCGACGTGTGCTCGACCGCGCCGTTGCAGTCGATAAGTTTCTTGTTCACGAACCGGAGCGGGGAAGTTGGGTTCAAGCTTCTGAACATGCTCCGGCTATGGCGCCTCCGACGGGTCAGCTCTCTCTTCGCAAGGTCATTTCTGATATGATATTTTCTTTATTATTTTACTTTCTTTTATTCTTTAAAAATATTTGCTTAAAGCAGTCCATTTGATACGTTTTGAAAAATTATATAGAAATTTTATAAATAATAAAAATATATTTTTTTTCTTCTCCCATGAATAAAAACATTATTTTATAATTATTGAATTTATGAACGTTGGAATCATATCATTTTATTTTTCTTTATTAAAAAAGAAGAAACAGAAACAAGAATGAAAACCTAACTAAATAGGTCCTAATTTTCATCTCGAGCTTCGACTGAGCTGTCTCCGTTTTCGGTTGCTTTGTTTTTTAGGCTAGAGAAGGACATCCGGTTCAATTATTTCTGGACCCGTTGCACAAAGCTCATTTCTGTAAGCATCCATCAATTATCACTTTATCTTGCCTCACCTTTTTATTTTTATTTTTAATAATAATTAGGCACCAACTAATCACTTAAAAGATAACCGTTCAAAAATTGACAACTATTTATTTTCTTGAAAAATGAAAAATCTCTCTTATCTCGTGGTTCTCATATTTTTCTCTCTTAATTATTGAAAAAATAATTATGGCCAATAAAAATACTCAATTAGTTAAATCCCTAGATTATTTTGTATTAAAGAAAAATACATATCTATACAATGGCCATCAAACCTAAACTAACCCTTTCTACAGTCCAGAGACAAACAAGAGAGGGGAGAGAGACTTTTTAATATTTTTTAAAAAAATAAAACACCAACAGAAAAAATTTCGTAGTGGGTACCTAAAAAGTATAATTTATATTCTTTTTATATTAGTCTCTTTCAATGACATTTAATAGAAAATATAAAAGTTGATATACGGAAGTTCTAAAAAGATGCATGAATTTCTAAAATTTTCTATTAAGGATCTCACATTGAAAAAATAAGGATTTGATCAATGGTTTATAATATAAATAGCCACTCTTCTAATTTTGAGATGGAACTTTATAAATATTGATAGCTTCTGCTAACTACGAGCGCGGTTTGTTGTTGTGGTGGTACGATGACAGGTTACATTATTTGCAGTGCACTGTGCAGGGTGCTTCAATTTCGTAATAGCAGACAAATATCCAGACCCAAAAAGGACATGGATTGGTGCAGTGAACCCAAATTTTAAGAACGACAGCCGATGGAACCTCTACATAACTTCAATTTACTGGTCCATCACCACCTTAACCACCACTGGCTATGGCGATCTCCACGCTGAGAACCCTAGAGAGATGCTCTTCGACATCTTCTATATGCTCTTCAACTTAGGTTTGACTTCGTATCTTATCGGAAACATGACCAATCTCGTCGTCCACTGGACTAGCCGCACACGAAACTTCGTACGCTCCCGTCTCTTTATCCTTTCTCATGCATTGCATGCATTTAGGACTAGACGATTTTATTTTTAGTTTTATGTTTTCGACTTAAACTCATTCTGATGATCTCATGCACATGGATACTCTTGCATTGTTATTTAATTTTTACCTTTTTTTTAATATTTAAATGAAATTGATTGACTTTTAGAAATTAAGAAAATGAGTAGTATTCATGTAAAATTAAATATTTTTCTCTTAAACACATCTTACATGAAAATACTTTTAGATCTTGACGGATGATCACCTTTTTTGTGCTCACGTAAAAATTGAAGTAAACTACTTTTCCATATCCAAAGTATTTTTATAAACAAAATTCGAATAGGGCCAGTGATTGCTTTTTTGTTCTTTTGTTTAATCTATTTTTCTAACAAAATATATTATTTCTAGAATTTAAAAAACGTAGATAAATTTCCTATTTCACCATTTTTTACTCATAAAAGGTATAATAAATATGTAAAATTAACATAATAAAATAATTTTTATTATTCTAATTTTCAGATAAAACCTTATTACATTTTTAAAATTTTTTAAAATTTTAAAAACAAAAAATAATAAAAAATGATTGTTGAACATGAACAAGAATGTTATCAATCCAGTTCGTTGATACGGAGGTTTTCTTTCTTTCTTTTTTTTTTTTTCTTTGGCAGAGGGATTCGGTTCGAGCTGCAACAGAGTTTGCATCGAGAAACCAGCTACCGGGTCGGATTCAAGATCAGATGTTGTCACACATATGTCTGAAGTTCAAAACCGAGGGGCTGAAACAACAAGACACCTTGAACGACCTTCCAAAAGCCATTAGAGCTTCCATAGCTCACTATCTCTTCTACCCCATTCTTCTTCAGGTCTATCTTTTTCAAGGAGTTTCTCATGACTTTCTTTTCCAACTGGTAAATTTTCTCTCTTAAGCTAAGTTTTTATTAATTTGTTTTCAAAAAGAGAAAATTATAAGCCTTTTTGGTTTCTAGTAATTTAATAACCATGCATATTTTGAGATCAAATCTTTTGGCCTGTCATTTTCTTCCCCATTTCATATTAATAGTCCTAAACCCAAATAGCCCACTTATAGAAAGACAATATTAATAAAAAAAATTTATTTAAACTGCTCCCCCCTAATAAAGTTGTATTATCTGAGAGATAGATTTAACATATCAGTTTAAGTTTTTGAATTGATGGATGATTTATAATTTATGTATTTTAAATTTATGGATAGTCTAATAGTAATAATCAACTTTGTATATAAGGTATCAGATGTGGAGGCTGAGTACTTTCCACCAAAGGAAGATGTTATACTCCAAAATGAGGCTCAAACTGATCTTTATGTATTGGTCTCAGGCAGTGTGGTGAGTAGGAAGCTTAATTAATTTCATCTTAATTTCTAAAATTTTCTTTGGAAAAATGCCCCATTTTGCTAACATTATTATTGATTCCAACTGCAGGATCTAATATCCAATATTGATGGGCATGATCGAGTATGTACTCAAATATATAATTTTATTTTTTATTTTTTATAACATAGGTTATGGGACAAAATATTAATCTCTGTCTCTAAATTTAAAATAATTATATGTATTTTGTGTTTCCATAGGTTATGGGACAAGCAACAGCAGGAGACATGTTTGGAGAGTTGGGAGTGTTGTGTCAAAGGCCACAGCCTTTCACAGTTCGAACCACAAAGCTTTCACAAATTTTAAGGCTCAAGAGAACTTCTTTGTTGTACATAATACAATCAAATACAGAAGATGGCAACTTTATAATGAACAACTTTTTCATGGTAACTAATTTTGACCATTTGAGCAAATTGTTAAAATAAAATTATATTTTCCTTTTTGTTGAGTAGAAACTAACAAATTTTGTTGCATGATATATATTGGCAGAAAATGAAGCAATATGAAAGAATGGGCAATATATGCAGTAGTTTAGATGAATATAGAATAGAGTTTGATGAGCTAGAAGGAGCTGAAAGGGACATTTTTCCTCAAAACAAACAAGCAAGATCAAATGGGGGTCCTTCAGATTTTGTAGTCTCCTCCTTAGAAAATTTGTCAACCGCGACGGCCTCTTGCTCGAGTGTCGTCTCTAGACAAACCAAGAGAAGGGTTACCATACACATGCTGCCTCGACATGGAACCGAAGAAGTTAAAAGTCAATATGGAAAGTTAATATTTATCCCTGATTCAATAGAAGAGCTCCGCAAGATGGCGAGTATGTGTTAGAATCTCTGGCTCTGATATCATGTTGAATTATTATGACTACGTGAGCGAAAAAATTAAATACGGAGTTTGATTTTATTGTTTGGTTGGCGCAGGTGAAAAGTTTGGAGGAGAAATGGCTACAAAAATGTTGAGTGCAGATAATGCGGAAATTGATGATATAAGTGTGATTCGTGATGGTGACCATTTGTTTCTTCTTTATAATGATATTGAAAATGTGGTCTCAAATGAGCCATAATATTTCTTTTTATAACTTTTTCTTCCCTTATAATTTTCTTATTTCATTTTTCTTTTTTTTGGTTGACAACACAGGGTAGGCTAATGCAAAAGCTTGTAACTTTGAGGCTAGTTGTTAATATTTTCCACCAAAATCTGACAACCAATTTGTCTCTTGAGGGAAAAATGTCATTCATCAAATCATTATGTCTTGTCCATATAGGAATTTTTTTGAAAATATAGTATTCAATTTTGGGTGTCGAAAATTAATTAAATAATTAAATTTATCATAATCCAATTGCTTCAAGTTTTCATTTTGTGAAAATAAATGTTCTTCAAAGTTTTTTATTCCCCCCTTTTTTTTTTGTCTCTTAGCATTTGTTGATGAGCAATTAACATTAGATTCTATTCTCTTTTATGGGATGTGTTGGAACCCATTGTTTGGGCTTTTAATAACAAAGTGTAAAGAGCAAGATTTTAAGATACCCATTTTTTGTATGAGTGTAAAGAGCAAGATTTTAAGATACCCATTTTGTAAATGTGATTAAAGAGTAAGATTTAAGATACCCAATGTGTATTCATCCTAACCACTCGAAATAATACGATAGATTATTCTACTTTTGATTTTCTATTATGTAAAAAATAAGATTATTTTTTCAGGGGATAGTCATGACCATATTTAGAATTTGTTGGAAATTAAGTAGTTGAGAAAGTCTTCCACTCGAGATGAGTCTCTAAGATGAGTTTGAGTGGCATATTTATGTTTGGTACGTGAATTTTTTTTATATATCTCAAACTACAAATCATTTAAATTATGTAAACTAAAATTTTTAAAATTTTACCTCGCAAGCTTTTATTTTTTTACAAATTATAAACGTATAAAAAAACACACATGCTACCTATGTAAACTTAAATTTTCACGAAGAGGGATTACACAAACTCGAGCTTGATCAAATCCTCTTCACTTCTTTGGAGTTGACGACACACACTGAGCTGTCCAAAATGCCTACTTCACCATTATCTTTAAACTTTTCAAATTTACCGTACACCTCTATCCTTATATAACAGTAGAAAACAACGTAACAAGTTATTAAAATGATGCAACAAGAATAAACTCTACCATGCGATATTTCATTTTAATGATGCGAAAAGAAAAATGACGGTGTCAAATCAGAAATGCAGATTTTGAAATAGATATTCGTTTGAAGGAGGGTGAGATGGAAGAAGTTGTAATAATCCATCTTTTTTGGAGAGTGTGGGAGGGAAAAAGAATATAACTTCTTACAAATTCCTTTGATTTATAGAAAGGAGTGCTCTAACTTCACATGCTGATGTTGATCATATGGACCATTTTAATTTTGTTGATATAACAGAAACAAAATCAAAAGGTTTTCTAATAAGTTGGGTGACCTGATTCTCATGCTCTCAACCATTACTTTTAGAGGATCTAAGAGTAGTGGCTCTGCAAGATTCTCTCCCACTTTTTGTACTTCCTTTTAATAAAGTAAATTAACAGTAAAAATTAAATAGTTATTTTTGGAAAAGAAAGATTTGAACTTATGATGAGACAATATCAATTATTAATGAATTAAGTTCGTGATTTAATAAAAAAAATAGTTTTATAATTAACCAAATTTAACAAATTTTGTTATGACCCAGAAGACTTAGTTTGAGATTTTTTAAATTTTTTCTGGAGAGCGGTAAATGTTCGGATCAATTTGTGCACACTTCGATATTAATCTCACGTGAAATTTTAGCAATAAAGACCAGATTAAGAAAAATCTCGAAGATGGAAAGCCATTTAGTATATAGACTATATCAATATGTCTTATCTTGGTTAGATTCTACAAATGAAGATTACAAAAAGAAAAAAAAAAAGGTAAGAGAAATATGCATAGTATTCCATAATTTGTCTTATCTTTTAATGATACTGAAAAAAAAAAGGCTTTTTTACCTCTCAGTTTTTTTCTTTCCATTTCTTTGGAGAACTGTTTCTGTATGTTCACACATTGATTGACTAGACAAAATGTTCTTTTTTGAGTATATGTTTGACCTATCTTTTCTTTATTAGTAGAAAAGTGGAAGTGATTTTGTAACCTTATCATGGTGTTTGATGTATAGTTAAAAACATTATTCTAAAATTTTGAGTATTAAGAGGAAAAAAAAAGACTTTTTAAAATCATTTTCCAAATTTTTATTAGAAATAGGGAAAAAAACCAAATAAAAATATTTTTAGATGAAATAATTTATATTTTAAAAAAGGTATTTATTAGAAATGTGTTTTACTTAGAAATATTGTTGTTAAGGATTATACCAAATTTGACTCAAAAGGAAAAGAACACGATGATGGATTAGTCTATTTAAGAAATGACCACGTAAAAAATAATGTTTTAAATTTTCATCCAGTCGATGTATTCGTAGTTCTTTGTCCACTTAACTCATGATACGAGAGGAGGGATCATTTTCAAATGGAGAATATTTTTCAAGTCACCAAAAGAAATAAGAATAATCCATTTTACTTAGCTTTGATATGATAGAGAAATATTCTTTTAATATTTCTTCTGAGAATACCCTTTTCATATATAGTTCATTTTCTTCTTTATTTATATCCAATGATATGTGTATATATATCAATCATGAAAGAACTTTTCAATGATAAAGGAGTTGAAAAAAAAAATGAAGAGAATATAATCACATATGGTTTTGTTGCAAAAACGATAATCTATCAAAACATATGATTGGATCAAATTAGGTACACAAATAAATAATTAAAAAAAATACATGTTATTAAAGGAAAGAATTTGTACTCTTCATCCATGATAAGATAAGAACTTAGAGATATTTTAAATTACAATAAAACTTTTCTCTGAATATATCAAGTCAAATTTACTCGAAGATACTTATATTTCACACTATATATAGCTAGATGATGATGCTCTAATAAAGAATTCGACTGTCAAACCGAGCATAGTTCTAGTGGTCAAGACATCTATGTTGATAACAAGACTATCTTGATGTGTTAATTTTTTTGAATTTAGAGGATTGTTATAGACATCAATGAGTACTAAAATGTTGATTTCGAAATAAAAGGAAAAAACGTTTGTTATAGTTTTATTTTAATTATGGATTTAGTTCATTTTTAGCCACTTCTCCGTATATTTTACTGTCAAATTATTAAAAATAAAACATTGTTGATTATTATGTGTTTTATTTTTAAAGTTATTTTTGTAATATTTTATCTCAATTATAAAATATTCAACTGGGCCTATGTTAGGGCAGGTCGAATAGCTGGGGCAACTCTCTAGAGTGGGCCTAATCTGGGCTTGACCCATCTAATCGTTCAAAGGCCCGAACTTTTCTCTTTGGTTTTGTAGGCCTTTAAATTGAATGTTTTTTTAATACCTTTTTTAGAAAGAAAAATTATAATATATTTTTAGTTATTAGTTTGTGAGAAGACAAATTTATGCCATTTCGACAATTTTGATATTAATATATATATATATATATAATACATGATTTTTATTATTTAGTCATAAAGTAAATCTAATTGTATTTATTAAAAATTAATCTACTGTACAAAGTTCAATTAATTTTACCCGTAATAGGTTTTCTTTAACTAATCAATACTAATTCTATAATTAAATTAATAATGGGTTTTAAATTGTATTTTGAAATTGTCATAGGTTTTAATTCTATAATTGTGTTATCAAAAAGAAAAAATTGTATTTTGAAATTAAAAATATATGTAATCAATTATTAATATAACAACATTATCTAATTGGTTCAAATATAAATATAACCCATCTATATCTCCTTATTTTTTCACAATTCTTTTTTTGTTTTAATAGAATTTCCATGGGTTCTCTTCTCAATCAAAGCATGCTAGCTCATGAACGGTAGAATTTAAAGTATATGGAGTGAAGAGAAAACCAACAACAAGACCTTGCCTTTGAAAGGCTTGGAGTTCATTGATAAAATCTTAGAGTTCATTTGCCATATGCTCGTCACGGACAAGAAGATTCCAAAGGATTAAGAAATTATCAACCTCGGCCTATAATGGATGAAGACCAATTTCATGCACTCTCTAGATATCTTTGATGATAGATAACACTTATGCGAGCTCGATGGAAACAGTTAAGAAAGACAATTCTACCACTACCACTGGTTAAAAAGAAATATTATTTCGTAAAATTTTACGAAACTGTCCCCATACTGATAGTAATATTTGAGACATGGAGAAACATTACAATTCATACAAAAATCTATCATTCCAGACAAGTTTAAATGTATAATATACAACTACAAATATTTGCAAACATTGGAGATGAAGGAACAAAATATTATAATTTCCCTGATGAATGTCAACTCATAATTAAAGCAAACAAAAAAATAATAAATTATATCTCTGTTTTACCCATGATGTCATGTCTGTTGTCCTAATGTTTCGGACCAATTCATATATTTCTTGCATAAGAAGGATCTCTCATCACACTGGCGGTTCACATGCAACATTTTATAGTAATTGAGAGCTAAAAGAATATTAATTAATTAATTAATTAAATAAAGAGCTAATATATTTTCAAGCTTAAGATGACACCGTAACATTTCTATAGAGTATATAAATTCAAATGTGTTTGGGCGCGGGTTCAACATCTTTAGCTTAAGAAGTACGAGTTTAGGTGCGATATTTAAATTTTTGTGTAGGGTATTAAATCTTTGTCGATATTTAAATCGTATTTTCTTATGTCATCCATAAGTTCAACATTAACTTGAGGGATGAAACGTCAAAGTAGACAAAATATAAAAATATACCAACAAAAAATATCACGAATATGAACGAGATATTAATATTAATAATTTTTAATTTATTTAAAAATTGTGAAATTATTTACTTTTATAATCTTTATAAATGTTGACACTTTTATAAAATTGAGACATCTATCCATGTTCATCGACATTAACATTTAAAACCTCGAATCTAAATTTGATATATTAAATGTAAATCTAGAAGAACTGTATTTTGAAGTGCACAGGTTTTGAAAGTCACGGGATTAAACCATATATAAGTTACATGAATTTAAAGTTTTGAAACTTTATCTTATTTTATATCAACACATGATTAGATGGGATGTTTTAGCACAATGGGTTATGTAAAGATGATAATGACTGCCTACCAAAATTATGTCCATCTTTTGTTCACTTTTCAAACTTCTTGTGGAATAGAAATGCTTCTGGCAATGATGAGAAATGCCAATTTCTTATATGTTTGTAACCATTCCATTTGTCTTATAAAATCCCAAGTTTTGTTAAAGATTTACATGCTGCTTTCTTAGAAATTGGATTACACAACTTTACTAGAAAACCAATCTAAAGATCACTTCCATCTCTCACTCTCTAATCATTTCCATGTGGCCATACTTAGCCTCTACTCTCTATTTGGATCAATCTTTTTAGGCATTCATTTTGCCGTTCTGGAAATTTAAGCATTTGTTTGGTTTGAAGGAGAAGTGGGGAAAGAAAATCGAATAAACAGTTCAGCGGTAAAACCTAAACATTTGTCAAGTATTTGTTTTTCTTGTTTTCATTTTTCTTTCAGAAACATATTCTCGAGATGGTATAGAAATTTTGTAAACAATAAAAACAAGTTTCTTGTTTCTTGTTTCTATTTTCAATTTGTTTAACTGTTTTGTCATTTTTGAATATATAAATATTGGGGACTAGACAATTCAATTCTTGTTTGTCAAATGGATCCTTAATTTCTCACGAAATAAAAAGAAATCGAGAGACAGTATCCAAGACATTAAAACAATAGAAAATTAGGAGAAGAAGCGCATTTTGCGCATAATGTTGAGCATGGAAGGTAAAAAGAAAGGTGATAAAAGAGATTGTTTTTGACTATTTTGAAGTGGTCATATTGCAATCATCATGATGCTAACACCTCACCAGTTCCATTTACTTTTGTAAATCCTCCCTTTCAAAAGCTACGCTCATTTTCTTTAAAAATTTAATTTTGATTCCCAACTTTTAGTGTTCTATAAATTCACAAAAAATATAATATTATTATTTAAATTGTTAAACTGTGTCTAACAGAGATTCTTGTCATTAATATTTTATTTCTCCTCTTAAGGTTGGAGGTTCAAATTTTTCATCCTTATATTTATTGTACTAAAAAAAATATTTTCGTACCTTCATTGAAAATTTGAAAAATGGGGTCACTTCCACCATCTCTAGATTGTTATTGTCAAAATCAGAAAATGGATCGGATACCAAACTATGAGAGCTAGAAATTGGAAAATTTTCAAATGCTGGTTCAATTTGGTGAATCCTGTGGGTGTAGAGTCTGGAAGGAACTCAATCAAAGGGATTGGGTGGGCCCAAAATCCAAAAACTTTAAAATACAAAGTTTTTAATTTTTTTTTTCCATCATCTTTTTGGGCATAGTCTAAGTGGAGATGATAATGTTGGTCTTTATACATAATTTTATGATTGAAAATGGTGAAACTTTTGTCATAATGGAGAGTTTAGCTTCAAAGAGAATCATTAAGAAGTAGGTAACTGAGGAATTGAGGTTGTTTTTCCTTAACAAATTTGTTCTCATCTTCTTAAATTTGATGTTGAATTACTATCAGATTCCTCTTTTCAAAATTTTGACCCAAATATTAATATTGTATTTTTTTAGTTCAATAGTCTAATGTAGACCGATACATATGTTTTAAGTAGTTTAGTTATGTTCTAATTGGTTGATTTGATTTTATCCAATTTTTCTTGGTTTATTTATATACTTAATCATTTTTCTTCTTTAAATACGGTTCTTAAATTTGATTTTTTATTTCTATATTTCAATTTTTATTTTAAGCTTCAAAATGAACCATATGAAATAAGAATAAAATGATGTTGTAAAACTTGGAAAACAAAATCTACTAGTTTAATATGGATACTAATTCATTATCAAAACATCAACTTTTACAAGTGGCTACATCACAATCCTAAAAGATATTCTTAGAGCAAAAACCAAGAATCAAAACTAACAAAATTTTAATGTTTTTTTTCCTCTCTTTTTCAAAATCCACACTACAATGCCTTAATCCTAGTGGAAATGAACATGAAGATGAGTTGCTTTCAATTGGGAGAACCATAATAATACACATTAAAATGAAGACATTGATAATAAACTTAGAGCTTAAAATCTCCCACTCTTCCCATCATTATCCAATTCAAGATCAAGACTTTTTTTTCTTTCTAATTTCTTTGTTCTCTCTTTAATAATCATCTTTCCCTCTAAAGCAAGGGGTACCCCACATCCAAACATGGCCTTTTTGGGCGGCAAGAACCGGAGGGCAGACACTGCAGAGCTCGCTAATGTCAGCCCTTCATCATTCCCCCTTCACCATTCTTCTTTTCTTCCAAACCCCTTTTCAATCGACAAAGTTTTCTCAGTATATAACCAATGCGATTCCACCATCGCCATTCCTATTCAAACTGTATCGCTGTTCAAAATCATCCGATTCTGAGCCCAAGGGATGAGGGTCTGTGCTTGATTTTCGTTCTGTTTTTGTTTTGTTTTAATGTGTGATTTGATATTGAAGAATGAGAAATTTTCATAATCTGGAACTCGCCGCCGTGAGTTTTTGCAATGCTCTTCTTCTGCCATTAGTTCAAGGCTCGGCACATGAAGGGCTGCAGAAAGCTAGGGGTCAGAGGAGCATTGGAGACGGGCATGAGAGGGTAAGGCTTAAACTAATTCTTCTTTGATTTTAACTTCTGAAGAGATGAGAAATTGAATCTGGTGATGATTTTGCAGCTGAGCCATCAAAAGAGATTTGACATTCAACTCCATGGATTGCTCCTCTGGGCTTCAATGGGGTTTCTGATGCCTGTTGGGATTCTTGCAATTAGAATGTCTGGTCGGCTGGCTCGTGGGTCGACTCAGTTAAAGGTCTTCTTCTACCTCCATGTTGTTCTGCAGGTAAACTAGCTCTTGATTCTTCTCCAAATTGTTAATGAATATTGTGTACCTGAGAAGAAGATGATGTTATTGTTAGTGCTTAAAATGCAACCATTGTTGGTCTTGAATTTTATAAGAACATAATCATGCCCAGCCATGTTGTTTCATCATAGCTTTCCCCACTTTTTATTTTTTTTTTTATTTTCCTTCTTTAGTTCTGCTGACCAAAATTTAGTGGTAGCTAAGTTAAACAATTCATACTTGAATAGCAAGAAAAATATGATAATTAGTAGTACTCCTCATGATAGTTCCCATGTCTCCAATAAGCAGAAGCTACTTCTCTCTCTCTTTCTAAGAGTAAATTGTAATGGTTACTCTTGCATCTAAGGTCTCATCAAAGACTATTCCTTTTTAACAATCCTACCTTGAAAAGATAAGGGAGCTAACAAGGGTTTACAATATAAGTGGGCTACTCCTCTCATTGCCACGAATATAAATATGGTATCAGAGTCCAAAAACTCAAATGAGCATCCGGTTCAAAAATAGGATCCGACCAAAATCAATGAGTCAAAAGAGCCACAATCTCGAGGGCCACGAATATTAATATTCTCTACATTATCTTTTTCAAATTACTTCAAATCTATTTTTTAAGTTGATGTGACATATTAAGAGGATGAAGATATATCTCAAAACTACCCTTTCACTTTAGCCATGTGCAAATATAATCTCTACCATGTCAACTTTCAATTAGCATTAACAGAGTTACAGAGAAGTTAACTCTAGATAATAAGGATACTCTTTCTTGTTTTTCTGGATTTTAGATTCCATAAATATATACTAACTAAATTTCATTAACAGACATTATCCCTCCTCCTGGCCACAGCTGGAGCTATCATGTCCCTCAGAAATTTTGAGAACTTATTCAATAATAACCACCAAAGAATAGGTTTAGCACTTTACATAGCCATATGGGCACAGGCAGTGATGGGCACTTTCAGGCCTCAAAGGTAAATTTCCTCTTGAATCTTTTCATTATTTACCTTTTTGCTCTTTTTTTTGGACCTTTTCTTGATTAGTGGAACTTTGTAGGGCCAAAACATGAGGACTTTTCCACCAAATTAATGATCCCATTTAAAATATGCTGAATATGAGTTGTCATGTAAGAAACATAAATGTTATTAAACGAAAACCCAGTGTTTCTTCTCTTACACGACTCATTCTAAACTCGCTCTAAACATTCCGTCAATAATTTTGTTGAAGATTATTTTTTCTTTTTTTTCCTCTAAAAACCTCCACCACCCACTTCACTTGTGCAGGGGAAAGAAAGAAAGAAGTGTGTGGTTTCTCATTCATTGGATTCTTGGAACAATAGTTTCTCTAGTGGGAATCATCAATATCTACACTGGCTTGAATGCCTACCATAAGAAAACTTCAAAAAGCATTGGATTATGGAATGTTCTCTTCACTGCAGAGATCTCTTTTATTGGTTTCTTTTATCTGTTTCAAGATAAATGGGAGTTTTTGCAGAAGCAAGGGGTTATTTTAGGGGAGCCTGAAGCAATGTCACCTTCTGATGAACAAGTAGTAGAAACTCAAACTCAAAGGCAAAACCCCAAGGAACTGTTGGCTCATCCTTGTACCAAACAAAATGCACTCAGAAACTTGTTTGACTAAAATAGGTTCTTTTTTTCTTTTTTTTTTTTCAGTTTTTCTTAGTATTATGTTTACATGTTCTTTCTGACTGAAATTTTCCACTCTATTTTTGATGTCTGCACTTTGTGCTACTGAAATCTGATCCTCTGGGGGAAGAATATGCTGATAAGTGCATTCATCAAAAAGAGCATCTTCCACTAGTTTCTTAACCCAAAACCAATTCCTAGTGGTTAAAGTTTCTGCCCCCAAAATATATGTTATTTTGATTTAAATTTTATTTTGTAAGAGGAAGTTATTTTTGAGCATTGTGAATATATTGTAAAAGCATGTTCAATTTAAGTTTTGGGTTAGTAGTAGTTTAACATTGTATTAAAGGGATGACAATTTTACAATATGCTTTCAAAAATAATAGTGGCTCATGTACTAGTAGATGTGTTCCTACTAACTTTCTCACCGAACATGTTTTATTGGACTATTTCTATAAATTTTAATAGATAAGTATGTCCCACTAAAATTTTTGAGCCAATATAATATACCACATCAAAAAGTAGATAGATTCATATGTAGGTAAGTGCTTTCTTGTTTAATTCTTTTGTGACGATGTACTTTTGAGTATCATCTCTTCCTTTTTTTTTAATTATTGAAAAATAGGTAATTTTCTCGCTTGTTACTTTGAAAAGATGATAGAGCCGTGTTAACGTCCTCCCTATAGATGATGGTCGAAGCTAGATCAATATCCATTTCTCAATAATCCAGTTCTCGAGGGTATAAAACAACTCATTTTGGTTACACAATTTTGAAATAACCTTTTTCAAATTTTCTGTAATAAGAGCGTAACATGAACAATTTCACAATTTTAATTTACATAATTTTGAAATAATAATAATAATAACAATAATAATAGTAATTTAAAAAGAAAAAGAAAAAGGTCAAAGAGTGGAACATTGTCTCGAGTAATGAAGGAATCTTTTTTGTTTCGTCAAAAACCAAAAAAAGAATCTTTTTTGTCATTTATATATTACACTTAGCTTGTGTTCGAAAATCTCAACTTGTCGATCATATTTTTAAAATTGAAGGATGAAACCGTGAGAGAATTTTATTTATTTATTTATTTATTAATCAAAATAAATTTTAAATTTCTTCTTATTCACAACCTCTTAAAAAATATTGGAACAAAAATATCTATAAACATATTAATTTATTCATGAATGGAATAATTCAACTTCAACATTAATTTTATTTTTCTTAATACAACTATCAGTTGCAACTTCAACATTAAAAAAAAATCAATTAATATTTTGTAAATATTTGCAACGAATCTAAATACTAATAACAACATAAATTATAAGATATTTATTTATTTATTAATATTTTTTATGAACTCGAGCATGTACCAAATATTGATACATCAATGTCTTTCCATATTTCTAACAGAAAAAGGAAAAAATTAAACGTGCCAACTTGACTCATGTGGTTTATGTACCTAAAGTAGTAAATTCAAATCCTACTAAAAAAATAATTAAAAAAAATTAAATGTTATTTGGATTGTTTTAGAAATATATTGATATCATATCATTATTTGTATGAACTCTGCATAGAATTGAGCGATCCACGTTTTAATCCTTGATGGATACAGACAGAGATTTGAATTCTTGGCTCAAAGCCTCAAACCAAGAACATTTCGAGAATCTGCCAGTACCGAAAATTGATATTTAATTCTGACATTTTGATTTTGTCCCCTTCCTTCATCGGGAGGAGGAGGAGGAACACCGCCTACTTTTCGTTTGTGAATCTGTGATACTGTTTTGGATTCTTCTTTCTTTCCTCAATAATTGAGCAGCGACTGTGAGCACCATCGAAATCGCAATTCATTTTCTACCGCAAAATCGTTTGAATTTTGAGTTGCCATCACTCTCTCCCTCCTCCTTAAGCTTCTTCGGCAACGGTGTAACAATGGCGTCCCAAGATGCTCACCACCACCACCATGGACACGACCATCACCACGACCACGACCATCACCACGACCACGAGTAATTTTGCTTATAATTTCGCTCTTGAAATCAATTTGCTTAGTTAGGGTTGATTTGTAATCTCATTTCTCCGGATTAGTAATCAGAGTTCACTTGTTGCAGGAAACCTCACGGCGATTCGTCTTTTGTTGGAGCAGATGGTAGGGTTTTTCACAGTCATGATGGACTAGCTCCTCACTCCCATGAGCCCATTTACTCTCCTGGCTTCTTCAGCAGGAGAGCTCCGCCGCTTCTTACTAGAAATTTTAAAGAGAGAGCTTTCACCGTCGGTATTGGTGGCCCTGTTGGTACTGGGTATATATCTATATATCTTCCATTTTCTTTCATTTTTCCCAAAAACTTTTACTCACTGACATAGAAATAGAGTGTATTCATCGAGTGCTGTTTCATTTTCTTAGGAAGACGGCTCTGATGCTGGCACTTTGTACCGTCTTGCGTGACAAGTACAGTCTAGCTGCAGTAAGTATGATTTTGAAATGACTCTCCATATCACTTTCACTCTTCGGTTTCTGTAAATGGTTCCCTTCCTAGTTTGGTATTTGTAGAATCTTGGGTCTGTTCTATGCTTTGATTTTTGTCTTGTATATGCTTATTTTAGTATTCCCATGAGCCCATTTACTCTGATGAACCAGTTTTTTTTGGTAATCTGGGATCCTGTTTCTCGTTTGATATGAGAGAGACTGGTGATAAAGCATCATTTCCATAATATTTTCTAATGAAAATAATCAACTGGCTAACCTTCACTGCTCTGTCATATACAAGCAGATTGATGCTTCTAAAAGCCGTTGTTTTCTTTTAAAACTTTGAAAACCTGGGAAATCCATGACAGAGTAATTTTGGATTGGTATCGAAGTAAGAGTTGGTGTGCTGACAGACTGATATGCCCAGGAAAGTTCTGTGTTCTAATAGAATTGGATGATATTTGACCATATTTGTTAACCAAAATTCACCATTTTCAAACATTGGTGCCAAAAGTTCAGTAAGATTTTTTTCTTTTTAAGTTGGCTGATTCAATAACACCAAGTTCTTTGCTGTGCTGCACTGCACTGCAGTAAATGTAAATAACTAATTTTGTGGTAGAATGAAATATCTTTCGCTAAAAACTTAACAACGAAAATTCATGGAACATGAGAGATTCGTTTACTTTGATTTGCAAAGAAAAGATATTTATTTAGATTGACATGATCATTGTTAGGTCACCAATGATATCTTCACAAAAGAGGATGGAGAATTTTTGGTGAAGCATGGAGCACTACCAGAGGAAAGGATTAGAGCAGTGGAAACTGGTGGCTGCCCACATGCTGCTATTCGCGAAGACATCAGTATTAATCTCGGACCTCTCGAGGAGCTTTCAAACTTGTATAAAACAGACATGCTTCTCTGTGAATCCGGTGGAGGTAATTTGGAAATGGCAAAACTGAACTCATCTTAACATTCCCTTCTCATTACTTGAACTTAGCTGTTTAAATTTTAAAGAAAAAAGGATATAGAGACTTGTATTAGCATCAGACAAATTGATTGTGGATTCAAATGGTAAATTGAAAATTAAGGGTTCAAAAGGAACATACTTGCACAAATTTAGATATCTCAGGCTATCGAATTTGTTGTTAAAGAAGAAAGTAATCCTTGGAAGTGTAGTCTTTATGGAGATGGGTTTCAAAACTGTTGCAGCTGGTAGAATTTTGTTTAGAAGTTGAAGTCTTTGATACACATGCTTTACCTGTTTTCTTGTGCAGATAACTTGGCTGCCAACTTCAGCAGGGAACTTGCTGACTATATCATTTACATCATAGATGTGTCTGGTGGCGATAAAATTCCTCGAAAAGGTGGCCCCGGGATCACCCAAGCCGATCTCCTTGTATGTGTTTCCTAATTGTGTTTCCAGCTGTCCATTTTGTGGGTTGTGCCAAAAAAATTATGATCACTCATCTGAGGCAGTAGTGCAATCAAGATTTTGAACTCGGCCATCTTTCTAAATGGTCACATTTTGATAACAGGTAATAAACAAAACTGACCTTGCTCCAGCAGTTGGAGCTGATTTAGGAGTTATGGAGCGCGACGCATTGAAAATGCGAGACGGGGGACCATTTGTATTTGCTCAGGTCAGCCCTGTTCTCTATTTGCTTTCTTCAGTATCTATTTGTAGCTAGAGAATTATGTGATTGATGATATTGTCGTCCACTGTCTCAGTTAAAATCTTTGAGTGTGAATGAGAATGAGAAACGTAAAACTTCCTTGCTCGTGTTAACGACATGATATAATGCCTGACTGACATTCGTGCAGGTGAAACATGGAGTTGGCGTCGAGGAAATTGTGAACCACATCATACAAGCTTGGGAAGCAGCAACAGGAAAGAAACGGCATTGACATCTCTCAGTTGAAAAATGGCTAGAGTCTGGTTTAAGCTTAACCTATGGGCTGTTCTACTTAGTTTAGCTGCTTACATTTCAGAACTAAATGCTGTCAATCTTGTTTAAGGAAAAGTTTGAACTTTTAGCTTCGGCACTTCTTATTTTAGATCACATCACAAGAGACTTGGAATTCCATGGCTTTTATATGCCTCGGCAAATGATTAGAACAATGAATTAGTTTGGCCGTTCAAGACTATAAAAGTTTAGTATATGCAATGCAAAAATGATAAATATAAATATGATAATGGTTGTGGTTGTGGTAATTTGGTGAATTACCAAGGAAATAAGGCTGAATTACAAATAAACATTAAAAGAAAAAAAAGATGCCCTTAAACTTTGCCTTATATTTCAAAAGTATCAGTACCACTGTTTTATTTTTATTTTTTTTAAGCATGTACCAATGCTGCTCTTCATTCTTAATGAACATTTCGAAAATATATTTAATTAAATATTTGTGACTTTTTTTACAAAGTACTAATACTACTATTGATCTTTCATAAACGTTTCAAAAATATACTTTGAGCAAATATTTGTTAATATTTTAAATGGAAAATTGACGTGGAAGTTGTCAAGAAGACGATTTAGAAAGGAGTTTTTTTTTTTTTCTTTTCAAATATAACATGTTGGAGAGAAAATTTGAATCGGATCTTTTCTGTTGAAGATATAGTTGATTGAACATGAAATGTTAAACAATTCTTGATCTTTTAACATATAAATCGTGTCAAAAGCTGGTTCATGTCTGGGCCATGTATGTTTTTAATATTATTTAACGTGGGATTTAAATTATGGTTTAGGATCCAAATTTTTTATTTTTAATAAAAAGAAAATGACAGTTTTTTCTTTCTTTTTTTTTACAGACTTTTGACGTCGTTGATACTGACAGTTGATTAGTAGAAACGGTTGTAATCAACTTTTTAACTCTCAATTTGAGCTTACCAAAAATAATAAGAAAAAAACTCAAATTGAGAATTACTTCTTCAAATTTATGAAAATTTTCTAATTAAACCTTCCTGGTATATTATACCGCCTTCTTTTAATTAAAGTTCTCATTTGCAATTGTTTATTTATATTTTCTACAAAGAGGATTTTAATTTGTTACCACAGAATTTGAGTTAATTGAATTATTGGAATTGATTTTTCCAAAATTTAAAAAAAAAGGAAAACGACTCTGCTGGGGATCGAACCCAGAATCTCTGGTTCCGTAGACCAGCGCCTTATCCATTGGGCCACGGAGTCCTTGTTGACAGTTATTGCATTTATAGGTTAATAAATGCACATCTTAACAATTATCTGAAATTCTTAATTTCATTATTTGCATATTTCGTGAACGACAAATGTGCTTAGAACTATTTCTATTATTCTAAAGAAAAAGGAAACTATTTCTATTAATTGCAAATATGGTAAAATACAATATATTTCCTTTTACAAATAGGATAAATTTCTATTTAGTCACTAAATTTGTAAAAAATTGATAGTTTGGTCTTCAAGATTTAGAAAAGAAGAGGAAAAGGATAAAAAAAATACTCGCCAATGGTCCGTCAGTATTTCAATTTGTATTTTACGTTGCAAATAATATGCTACTAATCCCAAGGTTCAGAGAATGTTTTGATCTTACCGATCAACTATTGAACTTACTCATTCTTACATTTTTTCGCTGTTGTACTTCCAAATATTTCATTTCAATTCTTGCCATTAATATTCTTTACTAAATTTGACAAATATCTTCCATGTTCATGTGAACTCATATTAAATCTAAAAATAAGTGAACTAATCTTTTTGTGAATTACATGGAATACCGAGATCATAATGGGAAGTTTGAGAATCAAACTAAAAGGCTGCTTAAAAGTAAAGGAACGAGTATGGCAATTCATAGTCTAGGTAGAATTGAGACAATAATATTAATAATAATACATTCTACTTTGAACTTTCCATTTCAAGCACTTAGAAACAGTTAACAGTTCATGACTAGTTAAGGTTTATGATTCCAAATCAAATGCAAATGACGGGGAGGACACAGATGAAATAGAAAGCTTCTTCATTACAACATTTTGATGGAATTCTTGAGAAAATGTAAACAGTAATGTAATACAATCCTAACCCAATTGATTCGTACAAGTTTAAATAAACCATTTATTGGATTGGGAAACAGCAACAAATGGAATGATGGTGATGATAAATTGCATGAAGACCAAAACGTTGAAAGACAGACGCCTGAAGCAGCAACCAAAGCAACCTAGTTGACAAATAAATTAGTGACTACTCTCAGATAAGGGTAAGGACTGGATTCTCCTACAAAACGTCGTGTATGAGCTTAACACACTCAAGGTTTGAATGCTGAAAATGCCACGACTGAGTTGTGTCCACCGAATCCGAATGAATTAGAGATGGCTGGAAACAGAGAATGAACCACAGAACTTGGTTATTGAACTGGGATATATTGGGTTTTTAAACAGTTGGAAAGATGTAAGCCATGGGCATCACTCAATGCTTTAGTAACTTACCAACATTCACTTCGTGCTGCTGCTTTACGTTTGCGACCGTGTCGAAATCAACTGAAGGCTCTGGGTTCTACAGTCAAATGGAAGAAAATAATGATATTATTTATCTACACCAACTGATGCAAGTGTTGTGCTGATATCAAAATGAAGCAAATTATATGCGGCGCAGGTAATATAGTTTGAGTTGTGTATGTGAAACGATCCCTCAGAACTTTGTTGTTTGCTTGATATTTTCCTATGAACTATGGCAAGAAATAGATTGGAGCTCTTAAATCAATGAATCGTCAGGATCTGCAGAGAGAATTGAACTTTCCTAAAATCTGAAACTAGTTCTTTTAGTTGACCAATGTGAACTGCTAAACTCCATATTTCAATTTCAGGAATGGTACTAGAGTGCAGTGTGCAAAAATGTAAGATCAGAAAGTGAACACTGACATACAATTCTAATTGCGATGAGTTTTACTCCATATTCAATAATTGTCTGAATGAAACCAGTACCAGTAGGATTGTTAAAATGGAAAATGAAACGTACAAATTGATTTATGGAAGGATGCAACCATCCCGTTCCAATTGCTTTCACAGTGGCAATGGCTTCCAAACCTCCAGCAGCACCAAGGCAGTGCCCTATCATAGACTGAAAGTAATGACGTCAAGAAAAAGTGTCAGAAAAACAGTGTATCACTTTAAGAAGAATACAATACAATGTAACCATGTAAAAGTTGGTGAAAGCGGTGAGGGAGGGAAGGAGGGAGAGAGAGAGATTGCCTTAGTTGCATTAATTTTGATCCCTGATGTATTCTTAAACACCTTCTTGATGGCATTGATCTCAGCTAAGTCACCGGCAAGGGTGGATGTTGCATGTGCATTAATGTAGTTAACCTGTAAATTTCAATGAAAAAAAGAGGCAGATATAACTATATGTTTTCCTCTCAAAAACAGTGACAATTTGACATTTAAAAAATGGTAGGCCCAGCATAACAAAAAGATTCGATTTCACCAAAACATCTGACATGACAAACAAGAAAATCCCTGAAATTTTAATGACCATTTCATTTATGGTTTTTTGTTTTTAAAAATTATTCTTAGTTTCTCACCATTTCTTTGTACGTCTGTCACGTCTCTTAAAAACATATTTGAATTCTTGGCCAAATTTTAAAAACAATAAAAATGTTTTTAAAAACTACTTATTTCAGTTTTCAAATTTTGACTTAGATTTTTAAAATATTTTTAATAAGTAGATAGCTAAACAAAGAAACATATATAGCTCGAAGTAGTATTTTCAAGCTTAATTTATAAAACATAAAAGCAAAAATTAAATTATTATTAAACGGTACTTTAATGATTAACTAATAGTGTGCTCCGGGATGACTTTTAAAAAAATTAGCTTTTAAAAAACTCACTTCTCTACCAATGCTTTGGGAAGAATTACTAATTTAAAGTGTATTTAGTTTAATTTCCTAAGTGATTTTAGATAACTAAAAATGCATTTTAAAAAGATCTACAGTATTTGGTAATAAATAAGAAAATATTTTTTAAAAAGTCAAATTGATTTAGAAACCCTTTTCGAAGAAACACATAGAGAGATTATTATTCAAAAAAATTACTTTAAAGTGATTGGCACTCCTGTAATTTAAGCACTTCAGAGATGATTACTAAAAAATAGTGAAAAAAAAAAGTTTTTAAATTAAAAGATATGTCAAACTAATCCTAATTGATGATAAGTATTTTTCTTCGTAGAAGTATGATTAGGTGCACGTTTCTTCTATAGAAGTACAATTAGATGCACATGAGGTACACAAAATATGGCAGAAGCCCTATATAAACAGGCCAACCAAGTGAAAATCCAGTAAAAATATAACTTGTATACTGTGTAACATCTTCTTTAGATGTTATCAATGCAAATTTTGAAACTATATAACAGCACTAATGTTAGAAACCACTAAAATATTCACTAAGAAACATAATAGAAAGATTGGATCGTTATACCTCCTCAGGCGATACACCTGCATCTTCAAGGCTGCTCAAGATGCATGAAGAGACACCAAGTCCATCTGATCTAGGATCCGTCATATGATAAGCATCACAGTTAACAGCACCTCCCAAGTATTCAGCAACAATTGGTGCACCTCGTTTCATTGCATGCTCCAGACTCTCCATCACCTGTCAGGGAAATACCACCACTGGAGTTGTCTTCAAACAAATTTGGAATGAGATCAAACTCAGAGTGAATTTCAACATGAGAGCAATGAATCTTTATCTTGTTTGCTTTATGTCATAATCTCCCAAGTAAAAGCAAAGATAAAATAGCTTATCCCCACAGAACTACTGAAACTTCTGGTCAACCAAAGGTCAGAAAATCTAACATCAGTCATCATCTACACTTGGAAGGAACAAATATCTTAACCAAAGGACAAACTCCAGGGAAACTTCGCTCCCCTCCAAAAAACCAAACCTTAAATTGATTTTTCAAATGATAATTCATAATCGGCAACAGCTAGACAAAAGCAACTATGACTCATTGAATTAGCTCGGTTCAACGAAAATAACAAAGCAGCTAAAAACATATCCATTTTCCATGCTCATGTCAAAGCTTACCAGTATGCCAGCACCTTCTCCCATGACAAAACCATCACGATCTTTGTCCCATGGCCTTGAAGCAGTTTTAGGATCATCGTTTCTCTGAGATAGAGCCCTACAAGCAACAAAACCCCCTAATCCAATAGGTATGATAGCAGCTTCAGTTCCACCAGCAAGCATCATATCAGCCTCTCCACGGCGGATGTGATTTGCAGCAGCATAAAAGCAGTAATTAGAGGTGGCACAGGCAGTGGATATAGAATAATTGGGACCCATGAAACCAATATCAATGGCAAGTAAGGCAGACCCCATATTTGTAATGGCATAAGGAATGAAAAAAGGGGTTATCTTCCTGTGACCTTTCTCTATCAAAGCCTGAACACCATCAGAAAAGACTGTAAGACCACCCATCCCTGTTCCAACAAGCACGCCAGCACGCTCCTTGTCGATCTGTAGTGAAAATAAAACCATATATCCATCAGTTATATAATATTTTAAAAACAAAACTGTAATTGAGGATCTTTGATACAGATTGATTTGGTCAATCTAGCACCTAGAACAATAGATTCAAAAGCATCTTATGCGTGAAGAACAAACTAATTTTAAGAGAAATCAAATGGAAGTCTTCCCGAGATCAAGAAAAGTGAAGGTCAAACAAATCATGATGTCTTCAAATGTTCATGATCTCTAACCAACCACAACATAAAAGATCCGTTATGTCATAGCTAAAAGAAACTCCTACTAAAAAAAATCAATTTCTGATTGATGCAGAAGGAATATCAATATCTGTCAATTTTGGACAGATATAATTTTTTAATCGGTTCAGACTTATCGACGGAAGTATAATCAGATCAGGATTTTAGGATGTTAGCATGTTTAGCATTCTGGAAGTTTTAGAGTTTAATATATTTAGTCAAGGTCCTTTGCCTACAAATACAGGTTTATGTTGTATGTCCTAATTCAGCCATGTCATTTAAGCATTGAGTTCACATCATCTTCAGCCCGCTGTACTTCTCCGTCAATCCTACATATAAAAAGAAAAAATCCCCAATGGTGCAAATATATCTAAGCATGAGTTTTAGTTTCTATCTGGTGATATGATGGCAAAACATAAGCCACGGAACAGATATACTAAATTCCCGTTCGGCCATAAAATCAAATGAAATCAGGTGAGGCAACAAATTTCACTTCTCAATCAACACTGAAGAGCATAGACTGATAAAATAAAACGCTTGGACGCAGTTCTACATCAACTACTTCAATTCCACACTCGACTTAAGGAAGAGCATGAGAGGAGATTTCTTCATGATGTGTAAAAATATCCACTCATTCGAGATGCTCCCATAGATTCCTTTTCGCGCATGTAGTTGCACCGAAAAGCAAAAAAATAGTTCACGACTTCGTAAATGGAAGTGACTAACAAAAATGCTCCCTTGGGGTTACCATTTTTAAACCTCCACATCAAAGATTCACGAAGAATTCAGTTAACCGACCAGACGTGATTGAAACAAAAATAATAATTAAAAAAAAAAACGGGAGAGCAAGAAACGTAATTGAGCAGAATGCAAGCATGGAAAACACAAACAATCACACTCTCCCGAAACGGATGCATATTTAAGCAAAAACAGTTCACATCCAAAAAGCAAAAGGGAACGACCTTAGAGAGCTTATCTCCACCGAGGTCAGCATCCTCGAGAGCCTTCTTGCCAGCAACAATGCAGTAGCGAAGGCAATCATCAAGCCGGCGATCATTCTTGCCATCAATATAGCCCTCGGCAGAGAATCCCCGGATCTGGCCACCGAAGCGAGTAGGAAACTTGGAAGCATCAAACCTATCGATGGGAGTGATACCACTCTCACCAGAAAGCAGCTTGTCATAGTAGGAATCGACGTTGTTCCCGAAGACGGAAACAAGCCCCATTCCAGTAATCACCACACGCTTCTTCGGGTCCTTCTCCCGCTTGGGCGCAGAGACAGTGGATGCCGCAGATGCAGAGACGAAAGAGACTCTCCTGGATTTGGGAGCAGCGGCGACGAGGAAGGGGGAGCTCTTTGGCTTCCGAAGCGGGTCCAGCGGAGATGGCTTGAGAGCGGGGGACTGAACGGCCTGCATGGTGGTCGGCGGTGGCGGCGGCGGCGGCGGTGGGTATGGACAATGTAGCAGAGAATGGGGGCGATGTATAGAAGAAGGAGGCGATGGAAACGATGGAAACGGAGAGGAGAATGGGGTATGGCGGTGTTGAAATCTGGCAGATTTTGGCTTTGGACTGCGACTGATTGAGAGAGAAAGAAACTTTGGGGGAAGCGGAGCGGAGGCAGCGATTTTGTTTGGCAGAATAGTAAAGCCACTCAATAAGCCTTCTCGTAATCTTCGCCTCTCTCCTAAGTCCCACCCAATATGTGAGTTTGGCAACCTATATTTTTCTTTTTCCTTTCTTCTTCTTTTTTTTTTTTTTTCAATTTAACATGAATCTCTCACCTCTCCTTATACTAAAAAATAAATAAAATATAATATACAAACATATGCATACATACACATACGTATATACTATATATATAATTTATTTAATTAGTGATGATTTCATACTGCTAGTGTAAATGAAGGTAGCAGTTAGATAATAGAGATACATTGGTGGTCCTTGTGAGGCTAGCTTAATTGGTTGAAATCATGGTCGGCTTGTAAATATAGTAATAAATTAGTTGATTGGAAATATAACAACAGCTTTTTTATTTGTAATCGAACTAAAACAAGAAAAGATGGAGTAAATCAATTATACCCTTAAAATGGCCCGATTTTTTTAAATGATGAAAAACTTGTGTTGATGTAATACTTAATGTCAAGTATATCAGTGATATACCTAAAATTAAGTATATAATTACTTGGTTTATTAATAAGAAATCTATAAGGATACTTAAACCAAAATCTTTAACTCAAATAAGAGTTTTTTTTTTTATGTTTTTTTAGCAAATTCAAATAAGAGTTACTAGTGATATACTTGTGGGGTTGATATACTACATTTGAGGTATATCTCGATATACTTGTTGATATACTACTATAAAGTGTATAGTTGATATACTTTATATATAAACAAGAACTTGTTAATGTGAAATGTATTATCATATATTTGGTACGATTTAGGTATATTAAATATATCAATGAGATACTTACTATTGAGTATATCAAAGCAAAATCATAATAACAAGGAAAAAAAATCGAAGGGAGAAAAAATGAAAATCTGATTTTTAAAAATTTGGTCATACTTACCCAACCAAAAAATGTTGCTATATTTAAAAACGTGACAAATATTTTTGGTAAAATGGTGGTTGAGCATAACTCATATTTTAATTCGTGTATCATCGTTAACATTTAAGTAACGGTTTTTTATTTAAAAAAACATTTAAACAAGAATGAAAGTTTATATTTAATGATATAATTGCTAATATGAGTATAATTTAACTGATAAAAATATTTATTGTCATCTTAAATATTGATGGTTGGATGTCTCATCCTATAATGATTTATTTAGAATTTAAAATAATGTAATTGGAACTTTTAAAATTTTAAATCTTAAATGGTTAAAACCACCAATAAATGTTGGTAATAAATTTGTAATTAAATATATATATATTTAGTCGAGACTCCAGAGATTCGGTTGTGTAAACTGTAATCAGTGATGTGTATCATTCTAATCCACATATTATTTATTTATACCATTTAAATCATTTAATTTGGTGGGGCTAAATAATTTATGATTTTATATTAATTATTAAATTGAATTATAATAAATAACCTATATATATTATTTATAGGCTTATTTGACGCTTTTTTTTATTATATAAGTTTTGAACTTGTATAGTTTATACATTTATCTTCACTGTAAAATGACGTTTTTTTTAAATGGCTTAAATTTGAACTTCTAATTTTGAGGTGACGATTTATGATTTGATAAGTTAATTCCTGAATAGTAACTTTTATAGCAAAATTAAATTAGATATAAGACCTTTTATTTATATGTTTTATTTTTTTGGCAAATCTGTAGATGTAGAATCTTGGAATCTCCGTTGTGTACACTATTGAGCTAACCAACATAAAAATAAAAATAAAAAGGAGTTGTTGTAATTAAATTTACTTTCAAAAGAAAAGCTCTATTTTATGAGCTATAGTATAAAAGCAGGTATTGTTTTTTAATGAGATATTTTGAATTTGGATATTTAAAAAAATAGTATAAATTTATTATTTTTTTAATGATGCATTTAAATAACTATATTTGTCCACCTTAGCGTAGCTCATCTAATTAATACATGTATCTCTAACTAAAAATTCGTGTATTTGAATTTCCACCCAACATATTGTTGTATTTGAAATAAATTAAATTTGTTTAGAATTAAAACGTATTTAAATTAATTGAAATAAAATATAGTTATTAGAGTTAATAAAAATCTTAAAAGGTAAAAATAACACTCTCAAATAATACCTGTTAGTTTTTGCGGGAACTGTTCTAGTAATTAAATTCACTTTAAAAAGTATATACATTTTGTGAAATATGAAGGTAGCTTTTTTAATCTGATTATGAATTTTGAGTTTTTATTGTTTTATACCAGAAATTAACTCAGACGAAGGATGACTCGAGGGTGAGCTAGAAGTGCGTCGAACAGGAGACTTGCAAAATAGAAGACACTCCGACGCCTAAATTGATAGATGATCGAGCTACATTCGATAGAGAATATAGTATTCATGCACCTGGGAATGAAATAGGAGGTTCCTATTTATAGGCGTAGTCTTCAACAAAACATCCGATAGAGTCCTAAACGACTCTTTAAGGTAACCAAGAAATATGGTGTGCTATCGTGAGATATGTCGTGGAGCATATTCTATCAAAGTATCTGTAGATCAGCTCTACACCAATGTATGGGGTTACCGATCAGAGGAATATGAGGTCGACTTGGTATGACATCAGGAATTCGAGGTGAAATATCTTGGTGCTACTGATTTAGAGCCACGTGTCGTTTTCATCATATCAAGACTTGTCACATGTCAGCTAAAAATTCACACTCCAACCATTGTATTCTCACGTAAACTTTTGAAATATCTATTTCAATTGTTGGATTTTATAAAAGCGATTATTTTTTGGCTCTTATTATTATCAAATTATAAACTGATTACATGATATTTTAGATGAGTATTTGAGTATAGCTAGGGAGACACTCATGTGACCAATTTGCTACAAATTTATTGATCTAATTCATAGAAAAGAAGATCTTGTACCCATGTCTTTATTGGACAAACATGTCGGGTTTCAGGTAATACATAATCGAGTATGAATCACATTTATGGCTAAAAATATAGGTTTTAATCCCATTTTGCAGATCCTATTTTGTGGCAAAAGATGTATCGATAAGAAATCTAGATTTAGGTCCCTTATGTTTCAAGTTTGATTTCAACCTATTAGATTACTCCTTTTAGCATCTTATTGCCTCTGGTTCTACTTATGGAATGTTTTCCCACAATGTTTTTTCGATTAAGTATGGCAGGTCGAGCCTATTTGAGGTGGCCCTTTAGTGTGACCGAGTCCACTTGGAGCTTTTTTTCCTCCACACGACCTTGTAATTTTCTCCCCCAAACACACCTTTCATATCCAATATCTAAACCATATTGGAATACATTGATCTATTTCTATCTATTGGGCTATTCAAGTTTATACATTAAAGTTAGCTCGAGTATAGTTGAATTAGTTAAAACATACATTATCGATCAAAATGTTGGAGGTTCGAACCCCACATATTGTTGTACTCGTAAAAAAAATCTATATATTAAAAAAAAACAAAGTAAAATCACACTTCATAACAATGATATGTATTTTAAAAAACATCATAATTTTTTTCATTTGTAGATGTAGCATAGATATCATTTTTCTTAGTACTTGTACAATATATTTGGATTTGAATTTGATTTGGATTACTGCTATTTTTATAAAATTTAATGTAATCAAAATTCAGTATTAAATTAATTTCAAATTAAATTATATAACGTGTTGGTTGAGCATGTGAATTTTTTTTTCTTCTGAATTTCCTTTAATTAGTCAAATTTAGGCATAGGCTTTTGGCTTTGAANATACACATGTTTTATGTGAAGTAATTATGAATTTAATTCTTTTTACGCATGGGTTTTTTTTTCCTTCTTTGCGTAAGGTAATCTAGTAGTATACTATACCCATGAGTTTTACCTCATCGATTTATCCTATAAATAAAGAGGTGACGTGGCAAGGGAGGGATCATAGATAAAATTTTGGTTTAGATTTAGTTTCAAAATTTCCATATTTATTTCAACTTTGATATCTAGAGTCTAAACTACCTAAATATCTGTTTTAATTTATAACTTTTTTCAAAAATAGCTATTTTATTACTTAAACTTATAAAAAATATACTTTTTTTTCCAACATGCGTTGTTACAAGAAAAATCCTCTTCAACGACATTTTTAGAGACCGAGACAAATTTTCGTCGCTTAAAAAATGTCAAACTATGCCGCTTTATAAGTGACAAAAATTCATTTGTCCCATCAAATTAGCACCTGCCAAAAATAAGTGTGGTGAGAAAAATAAAATGGCATCGTATTGGAGTAAGGTGACGAAAACACATTTTGATAATAGACAAGTGTTTAACCAATTGACTATACTTAGATTGGTGATTTCGAGAAGCATACCTAATTATAGTAATAATTGAGTATAAATACTCATATCTAATCTTATTGACTATTTAAAGTTAATTAATCATATCATATCTACTCACTTCTTTAATTTAATATATTTACTAACAAAAATAAATTGAACAAAATATCTAAATCAACCTATTAAATACCTTTTTTATTACAGTAAATATGAGACTCCGTGAATTTGAATCTCCAACTTCAAGGGAGGGAGTTAAATTTAGTTGAAATATAGGGTGCTATTGACATGAATTAAATGTTTTTAATTTGGTATAATTAAGTTAAATTGAATACATTAGTATGAAGATGAATAAGAAGGCGAATTAGCTCCCAAACCTCCATCCTATTCTTGTAATATGCCAACCTAGACATAGTTTAATGGGTTAAAGTATGTATGTTCCATCCAAAACGTCGTGACTTCAAATCCCTCTACTAATATTAAAAAATATAATAATAAATTAATATATATATAAGTTTTGATTCGAGGTTTCGTACCATTTTTTTGAAACCCAACAACAACTTCTCATCTCCTCACTTTAGTTTTTCCATCAAAATAATATTGTTGTCATTTCTGACGTGGATTCTAAAATTAATAATGTCTTAATTAATTAAGTTATATTTAGAAAGAGAATATTTAGACCTAAGTATTATTCCTCCTG